TAGATATAAAGTAAACTTGTTTAATTAGAACTGCTTTCTGATTTAGCTAAACTTTTTCCAGGCCAGGGAAGCACCCCAGTTTTTCTTTCAAGTAATTGTTAGCAACACAGCAGTAAATATCAACAGGAAGCAGATTATTATTGTTGATCACCCAGGGAGAACAAAGGGTAAAATATTTAACTGCAGCAGTGTTTGACTATATTCTGCACAGTAAAAAGTCATTTTCAAGGTTCACCATTTCTTACTTCTTTTCAGTTGGGTCAAGTTTCTAAACTTTCTAAATCTCTGTTTTTCCAGCTAATGAAAAGAAAATAGAGTTCTACTGAGTCTCCTATCTACCTATTCCAGGACTTCTGTGAGGATCAAATGAAATGAGGCATGAGAAAATGCTTCATACCCTGTTTCCCTGAAAATAAGACAATGCCTTATATTAATTTTTTCTCCCAAAGTTGCGCTAGGTCTTATTTTCGGAGGATGTCTTATTTTCAGGGAAACAAGGTAGACATTTAGTTAAAGTGAAAAATGTTTGCGCCTGGCTATATAGCAAGTCAAGTTCTGAGCTGAAGAAACTGCAAGGAGGCTAGTTGCTAAGGAGAGGAAGCCAGGAATTGCTAAGTCATGTCATTACCCAGGCGGACACTTAGCATATTAGCCATACACACACACACACACACACACACACACACACACACACTAGAGGATTATATTTTCCACAAAAGCTAAAAGAAGCCCAGCCAGTGTTGCTTGGTGGTTAAGTGTTGACCTATGAACCAGGAGTTCAAGATTTGATTCCTGGTCAGGGCATCTGACTGAATTGGGAGTTCACTCCCCTCTTGGGGTGTGCAGGAAGCAGCTGATCAATGATTCTCTTATCATTGATGTTTCTATCTCTCACTCTCCCTTCCTTTCTGAAATCAATCAATCAAAAATATTATAAAACCCTTTTTAAAGCTAGTACTGACTCAGGAGGTGAAATAGGCTCCTGTAAGGCTCTGTGAATATCATTACCATCATCAATCGTCAATGATCCAATGAGGACTGGAACTGTGGGTTCATACATAATAAAAATAACTTTTCCCCTAAAGTCCCTTTATATGCATAGGTTCCAAGGAGTTCCAAAAACAATAATCATACAAACAAATGATGCAGAAGTTAAGTGATCAGAGACTATCTAGGATGGAATCATGGCAAGATTTAAATGCTAACTAGCCCAGGTCCCCATCTTTCACAGGAATTCGCAGGAATACTAGTGACCAGGGCACAAATTCATATGGTCACTTTGGGCTCTTCATAAACACTCACATTGATGCAGGTTTCATGAATTTATAACATAGCCCACAGAGGTTTGGAAAGCTCTGTTAGAAAAAATCATCTTCTTTATTAAGATAAAGATGCTTTTTCCTTTATAAAAATATCCCATAGATCCATCTTAGTTTTGTCCTGTGGAGTATTGCAGGATAGTTAAAATTCCTTTTCTTACCTGATAGTTTTTATACCCTTACTTTTAGAAGTTAAGTCTTTCCGTTGGATTTTAAAGACGTGATCTACAATACCCAAATAATCTTCCTTTTTTTTCTGGCCACATTCTTGCTGCGAGAGTTACATTTTGCCAAGGTCCATCTCAAAAGGATAAATGCAACATTAAAATGTGGTCATCACTGCAGACTTCAACAGGACAATCACCTCCCTCATTAGCAGACTATCATTAGTCAAATTTAAAAATGCATTAACTTTTGCAACAACTTCCTACTACAAATGCCAAGCTTGTTGCCAACAAAACCATGGTCATTGATTATGTAGTGGATTTCCTGGACTCACACCAGAACTTATATATCTATTGCTATAAAATAGAATTATGCCATCAAATATGTTAACATGAATCCCTACATTTGAGGCTTGTGCGTGACATCTTGAAAAATACAAAAATGCTCTATTTGCCTTCCTACCTAACTCATACTCTTCAGTTTCACAATTTGAGCAATGTTGACCTTCAGGTCACTGTTTGCATTAGCCTTTCTCAAGTCATCATCTATGAATACTCAAGAATCTCCAATGAAAACATTTTCTTGTATGGCAATTTACGCTGAAGAAATTTCACCTGAGACGTCACTGCTTTTCACTTGTTTGCTTTTAAAACTGGTTTTATAGAGAACATCTCCCAAGAGTGTGTCCTGATAGTTAATCTTAAAGTAAGATTAAGTGGTTGTTCAAAACACAGGCTATGATGATAAGTTCAATTCCATCCCTGAGGCAGGACAAACAATGTAACCCCACCAGGAAACCCGTATATTGCTAAGAATATGCGCATATCCACACGTGGAAAACCAAGGTACACTGCTTTATTCCAGTTAGAGTTGTCCTCTTTGCAAGAAACTTTTACCTCACCCTTCCTTCCCTCTTTCAAGACCGCATTATCTTTCAGGCAAGGACATTTAATTAGTGAGCGTTCTGTTAGATCTCAGGCTCTATACGTGCCCATCACAGCCTTCCATTTAAAGGATGCTCATCTATGGGGCAGGCCTGAGCTTTCCCATCCAGCTCCTACTCAAACAGGACCCCGTCTCCCCGGTCCAATGCCAAAGGAGAGTGCTTCCACTCCAACAGGACAATCCCGAATGAGTAAATCACATTCCGGGGACCGTTTCTCTCCTCCAGACACCCCAACACTATAACTCCTTCCCAGCGCCGCGCCCTCCCTGCTCCCCTGCCCCGGGGCCAGCGCGGGGTGCGCCGGGTTAGTCAGTGCGCACGTGACGCGCGGTGCCCACATGACAGGGCCGCGGGCGGGGGAGGGGGTCGGAGCCGGGAAGCAGGGGGAAAAGTTAAGGAAGACAGATCAAAGCGTCCAGAGCGGTCCGTCCCCTCCGTTCTCGGCCAAGGAGCGGCTCAGGGCTCCCTAGGGGACGGCTGCGGACCCAGGCACCCAGGGTCCAGCTTCCCAAATTGGGGGGAGGAGGAAGGAGGGGCAGATGTCGGGCATAGTTCTCTTCTCTCCCCGCCACCTCCTGCTCCTCTCCGCCCAGCTGGGGATGCTGTGCACCCCGAAGTTGCTCCTTCCGTCCCTTTCTCCCTCCTTCTTAGGTCCCCTACTTTCTTGGTCCTCCCTTCCTCCCTTCCCTCCCTGCCCGGAAAGCTCTCCATCCCCTGCGGGCGATACTACTGACGCACATGGAATATCTGCCCCGGGAGCCTGCCCGCATCTCCGAGGTCAGACGCCGGGCCGGGCACCTTCCCCGGGGCAGGCTGGAACTGCGCAAACAAAGTTGTGCGCCGAAACCTGCCCTCCCTCCCTCCCGAGGAGCCTCCCCCCGCCCCCCGCCCCTCGCCCCCCAAATCCGAACCCTGCGCCCAGCTCCCCGGCTCCACCGGGACAGCCCGGACCTCAGGCAACAAACACACCCCCTTGCCCCGCGGGAGCCCCCGTGCGCCCCGGCCCCGCGCTCACCTTGCCGGACGCACTTGAGCCGCAGCGGGTCCTTGCAGTGCCTGATGACGGCCAGCACGTCCCTGATGGTGAGCCCCGCCACCGGGGTCTCGTTCACCTCCAGCAGCAGCTCCTCCGCCACCAGCTTGCTGCCGCTCTCGTAGGCCACCTGGCCGGGCTTCACCTCCCCCAGGTAGGGGAACTGCCCGTTCTCCGCGCCCCCCTTCAGCTCGAAGCCCAGCTGGCCCTCCGGGTTCCTGCCAATGACACTCTCATGGACTTTGCTGGTCCAGTGGCTTTTCTTTTTCAAGCTTTTGGACATGGCAGTGGGGCGAGTGGCCGCGGCTCCTGGGGGGGGGGACGAGGGGGTTCGGACCGCCGGGGGCAGGCTAGGGGTGTCGGCGGCGGGGAGAGGATGAGGATGCAGGAGCCGGGGGGAAGGGGGAGGGAGCCAGAGGTGAGCCGAGCGGACTTTGCTGTCCTCCCACCTCTGCTCGGTGGCGCTCTCCCGCTTCTTGGGATGGAGCGCGGACGCGGACGGGGAGGAGGGAGGGGCGGCCGGGCAGAGGTGGGAGCGCCGCGGAGGGGGTGCTGTCCCTGGGATGACACTCGGGGCTGTGGCCCCGCGGAGAGGAGAGGGCGGCGGCGGCAGGAGCGGGAGGGGAGCGGGTGGGATGGGGGGGGGGAGTGGGTTGTGGGGGGAGCAGAGTGGGGGGGGGTGGTGGCGGCGGGCAGGGATGCCGGGGCCACTCCTGCCTGCGCCGTGCGGTGGGAGCGCGCCCGGGTGTGTGGTGTTAGCTGATGTCCATGGCAGCTGCACTGGCAGCGGCGGATCCGCGGGTGTGCGTGTGTGTGTGCGTGCCTGTGTGTGTGTGTATGTGCCTCTGTGTGTATGTGTGTGTGTGTGAGAGACTGTGTGTGTGCGTGTGTGTGTGTGTGTGTGTGTGCCTGTGTGTGTGCCTGTGTTTGTGTGTATGTGCCTCTGTGTGTATGTGTGTGTGTGTGTGTGAGACTGTGTGTGTGTGTGTGTGTGCGCGCGGGTGTGTGTGTGCACTAGTTGTACAGTACGGGCAGGCGGGGAGGAGCGGCGGGAGCGGGCTGCGGGAGGAGGGGGCGCTCCGCCGCCGTCCCCGCTCCCCCTCCCCCGGCGGCTGACCCGGTAGTGAAGGCGGAGAGAGAGGCAGGCTGGGCCGCCCGGAGCCGCGAGGGGAGGGGAGGCGGGAGCGGGGAGGCGGGAGCCGAGGCCCGGGCGGGGAGGCCGGCTGCGGGCTGCGAGCCCAGCGCGGACCTGGCTGCGGCCTCCGGGGCGAGCGGGCTGGGCTGCGGCGCGGGGAGGGCGCCCCGATCCCGGGGACGCGGGCCGGGCGGGAGCCGCACCGAGAGCCCTGGATGGGAGCGCGTCTGGGGTCCGAGCACCGCCCGCCCCCGCGCGGGTTCCCGCCGGGGCAGAGCCGCCTGCGGGGAGAGGCCGGGGGCTGGGATGGGGGTGGGGAGGCCCGCGGAGGGGCTCCAGGTTCGGAGATCTGGACTCTTCCGGTTTGCAGCCGGACTCGTGGCGGAGTTGTCTGAGGTTTTCCCCGCCTCCCCCCCCCCCCAGGAGGGAGCAGAAAGTTAGAGCTGCGGGCTGGTCCCCGGGGCGGGGAGGGCAACTGCACCCCTTTCCCGCGCCCCCGGCTGGGATGGGGCCCGGAGCGAGGGGAAGGGGCTGCGGGGTTCCTGGTTTGGGGAGGAGGGGCTGGGAAAAGGGTGCGGGGAGCAGCCTCCTCGGAGAAATGGACAGTGTAACCCACGCCCAGGCCCTGGATAAGCCCTCCGGCTCGGACTTGGACGTTGGGGAGAAACCTTAAGAGAACCAGGCCCGGCCACCTCCTGCCCCAGGGAAGGAAAAGAAGGCTCCCGGGGTGAACCCTGCGGCCCGGACTCAGCTCCGTTATTGACCTTCAGCAAGTTCTCAGCCCGGAGGAGAGGTGAGGACAGGGGCGTGAGGATGCTCCATGCTCGAGGGCTGCTGATTGCCACTCAAGCGTGAATTTCCTGTGAGCCTTTGGGGCGATTTGAAACATTTTTGTAACTGGTAAATGATTTGCACTTACTTTGCTTTCAAATGGTAACTTTTAAGACAAAAAAGAAATCGCACACCTACTCATCTCTTTAAAGCATGAAAAGCGCTGAGCAGTTAGGAAGCTTGATGTCTGGGATGAAGAAAGTGTGGGACGCAAGCGGTGTCTTTAGAAATGTCTTGTCAACCCAAACAGAAAGGCCAGGCTTGATTGCAGGCTCTGCTGCTTACCAAGAGGGTGACCTGAAGTGTGTTGCTTGACCTTTCTGAGCGGCTGTTTCCTTCTTTGTTAAACGGGGTTAGAAGTACTGATCCTGGGATGAGGGTGAAATCAGTCAGGTTAATGCATGCAAAGTGCTTGCCTGACACAGGTGGGTAGCACTTAAAATGTTAATTTCCTTCCTTTTCCCCTCTCCAGTGTAACTCATTATTGAGGAAAAGGTGAATCAAATGTAGTCAGAACTGAAAGATTTGTGAAAGAAATATGATTTGTTTCACCGTCTGTCGTTTTTTTTTGTTTTTTTTTGGTTTTTTTTTTTCCACTTGAGAAACCAGATCCCCAGTGAGTTGACTGCCACTGATGGGGATTATTCAGTGAGCCAGGGGCAGTGCCAGGATCTGAAACCAGAGCCACAGGCAATGCCCAAGGAAGTTGGCTTTTGGCATTATAAGACACAGTCCTAAGTGGAAATTGATAATAAGGACTAAATATTTATTTCTAAACACCTATTATAGACTAAAATGTGTGGGCAATACTAATATTTATCAAGTTCTAACTGCATGCTAGATGTTACTCTATTGGAGATATATATATATATATATATATATATATATATATATATATATATTTCTCCTGATATCTTAATAAAGAAGGTACTGTTACTATCCCCTTTTACAGATAAGAAAATTAACTTTTGCAAGCCTGAAAATGTAGTCGGTGGGGAAACTGATATTTGCACCCAAGTGTTTTGGCTCCAGACCTGGTCTCAATCACTGCATTGTCTCTCCCCCCTGGCACTTACAGTGTGTCATACCAGTGTCCCCAAAGGTTTGGTCTGCATTTTATTGTAGGGGTAATTAGGAAAAAAAAGAAAACAAATGGAGCAGGAGTTTGGAATAAAAGTGTTTTATTTTCTAGAATCCAGGAAAATCACTTTGAAGTATGTGTCAGCTAATTGAATGTTTCTCAGCTCCTAATTCATCTTCTTTGCCCTAAGTTGTGATAGTAGAGTTAAAACCTCTGAATATTTCTTTGTTGTTAGTTGGTATAGTGTTAGGACTTGTCAGTAGAAGGTGCCAGAGGGACCCTACATAAAAAGGGGACATATCTTTTTGGTTCCAGTGTTTTCCTTTTGCTTCTGTGGTGTAGTGGTGGGTGGCTTTCTGGCCAGTGATGGGCAGGAAAGCAATGTTATTGTTTGTTTGTTTGTTTGTTTGTTTGTTTGAAAATATATTTTATTGATTTTTTACAGAGAGGAAGAGAGGGGAATAGAGAGTTAGAAACATGGATGAGAGAGAATCATCAATCAGCTGCCTCCTGCACACCCCCTACTGGGGATGTGCCCACAACCACGGTAGATGCCAATGATTGGAGTCGAACCTGGGACATTTCAGTCCGCAGGCCAACACTCTTATCCACTGAGCCAACCCGGTTTCAGCAGGAAAGCAGTGTTTTACACCCTCCAGTAAGTCTGGCAAGTTCTCTAGTTGTGTGACTTCCCAGTAAGCCTTGCTGGAGTCCCAGTGGGTAGTTTCCTAGAACATTTCACTGGCACCCCAGCTGATGGTTTCCTCACCAGCCCAGTCTGTGACACCTCAACAAATTTTTTGGCCATCAACTGGGCCACAGGCAAATTATCCCCAATGAGGATACAGGTGGGGACTGGGGAATCGTTTTACATTACCCCACCCCCCTGGAGGCACCAGGGATCCGAACTTCCCTGGTAGCCCAGGCTTCATCCAGAAGGTCTCTGGAAGGACATCTGGTTTAATTAGCATATTACTCTTTTTTTATTATAGATTTCTCCTGATTTCTGTCTCCTGCCTGGACCTTGACTGATACAAGGTGAAAGAGATCGTGTACTGTAGATCATGTAGAACACTGAGTAGAGGCTTATCCCTGGAGTTGGAAGTTGGCATCCTGCCTTTAGCTGTGCAGACTTGACTAAGTCACTTAAACGCCCAGAGCTTTCCCTCGTTTGTAAAATAAATATATGAAAAGGTTTTGTGAGCATCGTGCAAAATTTGAAAGCACTTTAATTGCATTTAAATGTGAGTGCACTTTAAACCTGTATAGTGCTATCACAAGTAAAGATGTTAATTATCAGTATAGGAACAGAGGGTGGCAAAAATTTTCTTTAATAAAAAAAAATTGCATGCATTCTGGGAACTTAGTTTGTTTTCTGGGGGTAAAAGCAGCATTTTCTTTAAGATTTGTTCTCATCAAATAAATATATTATTGGGTGGTTGGCTGATTGGTTAGTTGACTTTGCCTAGCTTTTAAAGATAAAAGCAGTTTCTAGTCTCAAGTAGTTCAAGTTTCCAGCTCTATGAAAAATACAACTAAAATTACAAACATTTTGAAATGCTAGATTCAGACTAATTTGGTTACTTTCTATTCTGGTATCCTTCCTATTTGCTTTATTTTTATTTTGTCTCCTGTACCCTTTCTGGGGATAGTGTCTGTGTCAAGAAAGAATTATTTCATGGCTGAGCACTCTATGTGTAAACATGGCACTAGATATTGCATGCTATTCCAAAAAATAAAAATAAAAAAAAGTTTAGGAGTCTTAAATGCTCAAGAAAGCAAAGCATGTGTGCATTGAGTCTTATGAAGAGTTCTCTGAGGTAAGTGCTTGTGGGAGATTCTACCCCATCCCCTTGGATCCCTTCAATTGGGTCTGAGTGCCCTCCCCCCAGCTGCTGTGTTTTTTATTTCCCACAGCCATCCTCTGCCACTCTCTCTGGAAGATGGCCCAGAAGCTCCTGAACTCACTTTGCCTTTGAGCACAGACAACCAGAGAGAACCATCTGGGAGCTAACTTTCCTCCCAGTGCACCTTCCCAAGGACTGCCCTACAGAGCATAAAAGCCCAGCCCCATTGCCTCTATTAGTAAGAAAACCTGAGATGTCATTTATACCCCAAAGCTCCCCTGCAGGGTCATGCTGATGCGAGAGTTTTGCCTGAAATCGCTTCCCTCAGTATCTTGCTTACTCTGGTAACTTAGGTATTTTTTTCCTGAAGGCATTTCCTTAATAAATCATGGGCACACAATCCTCATCTTAGGGTCTGATTCTGGGGTTCCTGACCTCAACATTACTATTCCTTTTTACAGCCCAAACTGGTTTGGCTCAGTGGTAGAGCGTCGGACTGTGGACTGAAAGGTCCCAGGTTCGATTCCGGTCAAGGGCATGTACATTGGTTGCAGGCACATCCCTGGTAGGGGGTGTGCAAGACACAGCTGGTCGATATTTCTCTCTCATCTACTTTCTACCTCTCTATCTCTCTCTCCTTTCCTCTCTGTAAAAAATTAATAAAATATATATAAAAATAAATAAAATATAAAAAAAAACTATTCCTTTTTACAGACCAAGAAACGGAGGTTTGGGTGTTTTAAACTGCCCACAGTTACTCTCCTAATAAAGGGGAGGAGTTTTGATTTGATCCATGACTGTGTGACTCTAGAGTTCCCATTCCTAATGCAGTGTTATTTTTAAAGTACCAAATACTGAGTTTTAATTAGCTATCTAAATAGAAGTGGACACAAAATGCTGCGATTGATCGATGGACGGATTATTGCATCCCTATAAGATCTCTGTGTTTGAGGAGAAATAAGGGCCATAGAGTGGTAAGACCAAAGCCTGGTGCTCCCCCATCAGAGACCTTCCTGACCAGAGGGATGAAGACATGTCCCACATTTTAGCAGAGAGTGTGAATGTCCAGTGTGATTTTCAGGCAAGGGCTTTCTTGATGCTGAGTTTGAACTGGGTATTTGTATTTTTCCTATTGCTTCTATAACAAACTTCCATAAGTTTGGTGGTTTAAAACAGATTTATTATCTACAGTTGTGGAGGCCAAAAGTGCAAAGTGAGTCTTGTTGGGCTAAAATTGAGACATAGGAGAGACCATGTTCCTTCTGGATCTCTAGGAGAGAGTTCTATTTCTTGCACTTTCTTACCCTCAGAGGCCACCTGAACTCTTTGGTTTGTGGCCCCTTATTCTGTCTTGAAAGCCAGCAATAGCTGCTCAATCCTGCTCATTTTATCACTGATACTGACTCCCTCCTTCAATTTTCAGGGCTCTATATCAGGCCCACCCAAATAGTCTCCTTATTTTAAAATCAGCTGATTAGCCATTTTAGTTCCATCTGTAACCTTTATTTTCCTTTGCCTCTTGGTGTTCCTCAGTAGAAGGTTTAGGGGATTGGACTCCTCCAAACACATGCACAGAATTGTATATTTTATTTGGTATTTTATCAAATTACATTATACAACTAATTCTCTTTACCTCGAAATCTTAAATATTGTAGATCTTGGGCTTATATTAATTAAATTAGCCTAGAAGAATCAGAACTGTTTCATTTTAGTCTAGAATTAATAGTCATTGACTGTGCTTCTGCATTTCATAGAACTGTTTTACTATTTTTCAGTATTGATCTTAGTTTTGAGAGGCAATATCTTGTCCAAAGTCTCTGCAACTCAAGAATGTACTCAAACAATAGTCAGTCACCTAGTCCTGTGCAAAAACAATCTGAGGAAAGGTAAAATTTGACTATTTAAAATCTATATGAGTATTAGATCATTTCAGTTGCTAGAAATTTTTTAATGTACCTCTTTCTGTGAAATTCATGTAACATATACAAACTGGGGAAAGAGATATGAAAAATCATTTGAATCATTGCTCCATCTAAACTACAGAGTTTACAAGATGTGGAGGAATTTGACCAGTTCAAGGAAACATAAAAATATTTTTTGTTCTTAGACTTTAAAATCATTGCAATATTTTATGTAAATGATAATGAGTAAGACCTTTTTTTGCTTCTGTTACTTTATTCAACATATGCACGAAACACAACAAAATATATTGTGTTTGGATCTGGAAATTTATGCTTCTTTGCAGTGTTACTTAGTCATACTTCCTAAATGTCATTATCTGAATTTATGTTTCATTTTTATGTTTTTTCCTGTAACTTATTTGGTGCTTGTCAATCTTTTATAATCACTACATATTCTACTGATCTCAAAAAGATATTCTCATACCTTTTATACACTTCCTTACTAGATTTTTTTTAAATGTTTCAAAAATTCTGGTACTTCTTGTTCATGCCATCAAGTAGCTATATTTATCACTCCCTTTTTATTTGTGTTCAATTGGTGTCACTTTTAAAACCATCTTACCATTTTTTCATGCCTTCTTCCTTATAGAAAATTCCATCTACAAACACTATTTCTTACTTTTCTAACTACTTATATTTTTTCATATTATTTATTCCTTCTGTTTTCCAATTGGGGAGCTTAATTTCTCTCTTTTTCCTATAGCTCCTCTAATTTTTGTCTTCGGTTGCCCATTAGTTTTCATTATAAATGTTATAATAATTCAAAGCATTCCACATGTATTTTTAATGTGATGTCTACTGCCCATATTCTTATCCTGCCTATAATTTCTATCCTTTTGTTATTGATTTAAAATGACAACAGTTTTTATTAAAAGGATGCAAAAGAATCAATAAAGGGACAGTATTATCATGGGCTTAATTTTTGTCAGTGTTGAAAAATCTTGTAGGTGTAAAGAAAGTTATGGAAAGAAATTGAACATATTCTGTTTTAAAATAGTAAGGAATAGTCAGATGTGTTTTCTAGTCTTTGGAAAAGCATATTTCAAAAAAATTCAAAGAAAAGTTCATCATGTTTCTCATCCAGATTACTGAGAAGCAGAAAATGCTAATGAACATTTGGTGGCAATGAGAATGTAATTCTAATCATAATTATTTTAATAATTTTAAAAACTTTTTCAAACTATTCCGTGTGGCATGATTTGTTTTTAACCATTCTGAGTGTTATAGATATCTTTCAAAATATGATGAATACTAGTGATCTTATCCTACTCTTCTCGCTCTACCACAAATGCATATATACATGCATCTTCCAAATATTACATATCATTGCATGTAACTTAGAGATCCATTGAAGCTAAACCATTTGTTTGGATAAGAGATTCTTTGAAAGTCCAGCTTAAATAAACCTTTTATGTAAAGTTTTTTATTTATTTATACATAATCAGCTGATAGTAATCTTATCTGATGAACTCCAATGAAATGCTACCTGATCCTTTTCATCACATTTTTTTCTGCCTTGTATTATAACATTCTAGTCATATCACAGTGTCACTGCTAGGCTGGGTCATGAGAGCATGGCCTCCTGTTTGTATTCCTCACAGAAGTTGAATGAATGACAGAAAATACACTAACAGAAAAAAATGAAGACACATAACAACAATGAATATGAAAGGGTCAACTAGATATATTAAGCACAGAATCAACTAATACCAGTAAAATAAACCCAAAATTTAAAGGTGTATCCTAAATGATCAACAACAGCAAGAGGTTTGCCACCTGGGAAGGTATTAATGTATTAAGATAATTATATAACATTTTATCTATCAAGGAGAATATTTTTAAGCATAAAAGGGTGAGGACAAATTTCTTTAAAAGAAAATTGTAGTCTAAGATAAGACATGGGATAATTTGAAATCATTTAATTGCTTCAGAGGATTTTAATGTTTCACCTTCTCTCAGGTCCTAGAGCAATAAAAGAATCAGGAAGTTGGGCAAGCCATTGTCTGTAATCTCTGAAAAAAAATGGACACTAAGAGATTCAGTAGAAGATGGGTGAAAAACAAAACTATCATGATTTTCAAAAGAGGAGAAAAATGAACTTTAGAAACTATATACCACAAAAATTAGGACATCAAGAAAAAGAAGTTATAACATGAAACTAGTCTAGTTTCATAAACAAGTCAAATTTAAAAATGCACATTTTGCCCTAACCAGTTGGACTCAATGGCTAGAGAGTCAGCCTGTGGACTGAAAGGTTCCAGGTTCGATTCTGGTTAAGGGCATGTACCCTGGCTGTGGGCACATTCCCAGTTGAAGGTGTGCAGGAGGCAGCTGATCGATCTTTCTAACTCTCTATTCCTCCCCCTTCCTCTCTGTAAAAAATCAGTAAAATATATTTAAATAAATAAATATAATACAATTCAAAATTTTATATAAATATCTGATACATTTTAACCCATGTTATTTAATGACAATTATGAATACTTTACCTACACTTAGTATTGGTTGTGATATTGGTCAGTTACTAGTTATATATGGTCTAGACTTAGATTAATTTCATCTGGTTGCGAGTCTTCAATAATATCTATATGTCAATGTATTTTATAGTATGGTGACTGCCATTTTACTAAAATTTCAAAATTTTGACGATATAATGCTATTATGGTTTTTTACTTTAGGCTGTATTTAAAATATTATTTATATATTTTTAATAACAATAGGTGTTGAAAAGATAAAGGCTCCTATATACTCGGTTTATTTGATTATGTAACTGCAGGAGTTTACGGACTCATTCAAACACCTTGCAGACCTCAAGAAGAACAGACACTGCAGTTGCCTCTTTAAGCCAAGGAAGTATTTTAAAGGATGTCATCTTGTGTTTATCTACGTATAAACGTTCTCCGAAGCTCCCATTTTAGCAGGAAGCTAAGTAAAATAATTTCAAGTTTTCAGTACTAATGGAGATTTACTTCAGAGTCCTTTTCTCTGGAGACAAATACAGCCCTTTTCGCTGGTCTCCTCAAGGGTTGGTAGATTTACAAATGAGGTATGATTTAAAGGGCCAAAAACATCTTTTCTGCTCTTTCCAAAATGCTTCACTATGTTTTGTCCTATTGCCTGATAATTTTGCCTGAGAGACTTATCCTTTTGAGATAATAGAATGCAAATGTCTCTGAAAAGGTATCTTCTGCTTTAGTCACACTCATGTGACTACTAGTGAACAAAATACATTCACTGCAGGATAGAGGGAAGATAGCCAGCCAACAAATCCAGAATATGGACTGCACCAAACATTGCTTAGCAATTTCCATAATTTTCTTAGTCTCTCTTATAAGAATAAAGAGATTAAACATCAAGGGAATATCAGTATGATACATAAAATTGTACAATGGGTATTTATTCTGTGTTTATGATATATCTATTGGTTTATAAACAAAGGAAACAGAATGCTACCAAGTAGGTGTGGTGATAAGGTGGGTACTAATTTATTTGGGTAATACGGAAAGGCCTCTCCTAAGAGGTGATATTTTTAAAGAACTTTAAATTTTATTCATTATTTTGTATTAGTTTCAGGTGTATAGCATCATAGCCAGACTATCAAATACTTGACAAAGTATTCCCCTGATATTTCCAGTGCCCACCTGGCACTACAAATAGCTATTACAATAGTATTGACTATATTCCTTATGCTATTATGTACATTCTCGTGACTGCCTTGCAATTACCAATCTGTACTTCCCAATCCCTTCACCTTCTTCACCCAGACCTCCAACCTCGCCCTGTCTTCTGGTAACCATTAGTTTGTTCTCTGTATCTATGAGTCTGTCTCAATTCAGTTTATTTTGTTCTTTTGAGTAAAATCATATGGTATTTGTCTTTCTCTAACTGACTTATTTCTCTTAGCATAATACCCTCTAATTCCATCCATGTTTTTGCAAAAGGTAAGACCATCATTTTTTATGGCAGAGTATTTTCCCTTGAATATATGTACCACAACTTTTTTATCCACTCATCTATGAATGGGCACTTTGGTTGCTTTCATAGTTTGGCCATTGTAAATAATGCTGCAGTGAACACAAGGGGGCATATATCCTTTTGACTTACTATTTGGGTTTCTTCATATACCCAGACATATACCCAGAAGTGAAATCACAGGGTCATAAGGCATTTTCTTTTTTCTTTTTTTTTTTTTTTTCTTTTTTTTAAATATATTTTATTGATTTTGTACAGAGAGGAAGGGAGAGAGATAGAGAGTTAGAAACATCGATGAGAGAGAGTCATCGATCAGCTGCCTCTTGCACACCCCCTACTGGGGATATGCCCACAACCAAGGTACATGCCCTTGACCGGAATCGAACCCGGGACCCTTCAGTCCCCAAGCCGACGCTCTATCCATTGAGCCAAACCGGTCCCGGCTCTTTTTTCTTTTTTTGAGAATCCTCCATACTATTTTCCATAGTTGTTGCACCAATCTGCATTCCACCGACAGTGCACCAGGGATCCCTTTTCTCCACATCCTAGCTAGTACTTGTTTTGTTTGTGCATTTATTGATGATGGCTATCATGACAGGTGTGAGGTGATATCTCATTGTGATGAGGTGTGAGGTGATATCTCATTGTGGCTTTTAATTTGCATATTTCTGATGATTACTGACTGTGGAGCATCTTTTCATGTATCTGTTGGCCTCTGTTTCTTTTCTTTGTAGAAGTGTCTATTCAGGTACTCTTTCCACTTTTTAATTGGATTGTTGTTGTTGTTTTTTATGTTGAGTAGAATGAGTTCTTAGAAAATTTGGAAATTAACCGCTTATTAGATCTATCATTAACAAATACCTTCTCCTATTCAATAGGTTGTCTTTTCATTTTGCTGTACAAAAACTTCTTAGTTTGATGTAGTCCCATTTGTTTATTTTTCTTTTGTTTCC